TTCCTATGGCAGCGCAGCTGCAGCTGAAAAACTGAAAAGTTGCAGCTGCGCCAAACAGAGCCTTACTAAATCCTAAAAACGCTAAATCATACTGATGGCCAAACACCCCCTTACTATTTACTACTAATGGAATTGGCAGGCCATGGCCCCCAATGAAGGAAAAAAAACAACTCTGTAGGTTGTTGGCAAGCTCTCTAATAAGAAAATGGTTAGTTCAAAAACCTCAAATACATTAAATTTTTCAATGGCATAGTGATTGTTAATTACTAATTACAACTCTTCTCAGCCAATTCATCACTGAAAATATTCTAGAGTTGATAATCCATAGAAACATAAGAGAAAATACCTGTGAAGAACTGAGGAAACTTGACGGGCAGTATGACAGCCTCCTGCAATGCTTGCTTGGCACTCTCAAGGCCAGCAACATCGTTCCACTTAACGTTCGGCTTCTCCCTTATGATCGCCGAGTTAAGCCCCGCCCTAAGCTTAACCTGCTCCGGATCATCTCCCCCATCATCTCCATCCTTAGGCTTCGTCTTCGGCTTCGTAGCAACCGCAGCATACCCATTTGATGCCGGCCCCGGCCCACCCTCATCTAGCACGGCCCGTATCTCCTCAGCGCGCCGAAGATACTCAGTGAACTTCTGGGTGATCGCTTCCTTAATCTTAGGGTTTTTTTCATACTTGAGATGCGTCTTGAAGTACTCAAGCGCGTTCATGTAAAGGGGAAAGGCCTTGACGTAGTTCCCAGCATTGTCTTCTCGTACAGCCTGCTTCACATACTCGATCGCTTGCTCCTTGAAATTGCTATACATCTCCTATTCCTCTTCCGCTTCTGCTGCACCAATCTCATAAACTTGATTCAACGGAATGAAGTCGAACACGGAACCCTTGATTCGATGAATAGCTAAATCCTGAAACTTAGATCGGATCAAAAAAACATGTCAAATGATCGAGGGTGGAGAACAAATAATAATTGGGAATCAATAAGGTCAAGGATCGGTTAAACTAGAGTTGGGCAGATTAGGGCGTGTAGGACAGAGCCGGTGGTGAAGGTTGGGACGACGAAGAGAATCGAGAAATATTTGGTTACGCAGCGGTG